TATTAAAGCTCCAACTGTTACACTTTTTATTCTCGTTTCTGGATAAACAGATTCATCTTTTTTTCTGGCTCTAAGTAACATGAAATCAGAATCTTTTCCACCAACAAGACTTCCAATAACAAATCCCATAGTAGGCGCAAGAAATAATAATCCAATAAATGAAGGTGAAAGATTATATGACCCTGCAGAAAAATTTTGTGGAACATTAGAATATTGAATAGTTAATATAAAAGATACAAAGCTTACATGTATAACTATAAGTAAAACACTTTTATATCCTAATAACTTTAATGGAGCAATTGGATTAAAATTATTTTGAGACGATTTAGATTTAGAGGTTAAATCTGACTGACAAAAAGTTTCAGGGATAAAAGATATAATTAAGAAAAAAATGATACCACTATATATTGTTAAAATACGAAATATCCATTGCCAGTTAACATAATGATCTATAAAATTCGAAAACCAGTAAGCTAGATAAATATTCCAAAAGCACCACATCTTTCTATAATCATAAATAATTAAAAAATAGATCTAAATTAAATTTTTTTTTTAAAAAAACTATTGTGTTAAATTAATTATAAAATTTGCATACCTGTTTGAAAATAAATATCGCTTATTATTCCAGTGCTAATAGAATGTATTCTAGAGGAGTCACAAGCCTGAACAGCACACAATATCATTAATAACCAAATATTTCCTGATATATCGCCGGAATAATAAATACAAGAGCAGAATGCCAATACACTTTCCGTCTTGTAATCAGCACGCCCATTGGATATAGAGATGATTAAATTAATTGTCAATAGAAATGAAAATATGGATCAAAACTAAATATAACAATATTTATCGCAATTCCTGTAAAAAATATAGATATCGGAACTTTGATTTACTAAAATAATTTATTAAACACATTTGATTTTAATTGGTAATACACTCTACCCTCGTTATAATGGACTCTGTTAAAATGGCTCTCATTATAGGCTGTGGTCCTCCAGAATAATTTAAACCAATATTTTGGCAGAAATTTTAATATGACGAACGTAATTGCAAACAAATTGATCCGTTATAACGGGGTAAAGTGCATACTATATTTAATATCTAGAAATTATTTAATGTATTAACGACTATTTCCAAGGTATCAAATTCTTAATGCCATTTTATTAATGCTGGATAAAGAATCCTATCATATTACAAGGAAAGGATGAAGTTCTATAAGGCCACGCAAAGTTAATTTTTCGTTTTGCATAACATGGTATTTCAAAATTCCGGTCGGCGGGTCGGATTTT